AGACAGCTCTTACACACCCGGAGCCTAGGCTCATTGCACAGGGTAGAATGTCTGGTTTGTGCAGCCCCAAAGAGGGATGCTGAGCATAGGCATCGCACAGAGTTGCCTATTATACAGGCTTCTCTGGGAGGTACGTTGACCTGCATAAGGGTTACCTGCCTTGAGAATTTCCCTTTCCCAGAAAAACGGCAGAGGACAGGTCGGGAGTACTTCGGGTCAAGCTGACAGCCTGATGGTGACTCTCGTACACAGTCTTAATGTTTGATTTTGGGAAGGTCAACCCCTGCCTCTATCCCTCAACATATGGGTGACCTATTTGCTTGTAATAATATAAAGCCTTTTCATTAATTAATAAAAAAAGGGTGATATGTAGGAAGCCGGTTCCTGCATTATAATGCTGCCTGAAGACACCAAGGTGTGAATTACTTCACAGGCGCCGGGTTATCTCCATTCCTTTGATCTCTGCCTATCCCGTGGCTCATTTTAGCCTGAGGAGCTAAAGCCATTCATAGGGTAATACGTCCCAGGCGGCTGGTCAGCCTTTTATAAGGGATGGTTTTCTTGGTTCAAATGTCTCCACTCTGGTAAAATGCATTAAAGCTTGTCTGCAGAAGGATCCGAGTGTCCTGCGTGTATTTCTTGCTGGCGAGGAATACAGAGCGGGCGCGGGACATTACACAGAGAAACCCTAATTGGGGGGAGGTTCTTGAGAGGCAGGGGAAATCACGAGTCCAGCAGCTGTGCTCTTGTGAAGGATAGGGAGCTGAGATGGTGCTCACACACAGAAGCTCACACATGGGCAACCCATCCCTCTTGTGCATGGAAGTTGTGCTAACAGTAATTTTTCAATTAGTTCTAGAGGTGTCTGATGTCTGGAAACAGCACAATTCTGATACAAGAAAGCTGGTAACAGCTGGAGGAGTCTCCACTGTGCCAGCACCCACTAGGTTGTCAAAGCAACTACATCTGAGACACATTCCTGGAGCTGTAAATGAAGGGACCAGCTCCCCATTTCAGCAGCCATACAGCTTGTCTGACCTTGTCTAGTCACTAAGGTCAGATTCCTGCCCTGTCGGCAGCCGTAACAGCTGAACACGTGCTTGTCTGACCTTGTCTTAGTCACTAGAAAGTCAGATCCCTGCCTCATGGCAAGGAACCAATCAGAAGTTAGCTGGTGTTGGTATGCTTTACGGCTCTGGGTGTGCTTTACCGACAAGTACACAACAATGACGCACAGAGCATAGCAACCACCCTGGGAGGGCCTATGGGTCATAACAACCAATTGGCCAATCAAAATAGGGCAAGCCCTCCAAGCCTGGAGGCACACCAATCCTGAGCCTGTGAGTACCCCTAGACACTCCCCTTACACTGCCCTACAAGATCTCTATGCAGCCCCTTCGAGCAGTCTTTGCTAGCCAACTGCCATGGCGGGTGGGTGAAAGACCCAAGCTAACATGGGGTTAGCTCGTTAAATTACAATAAAGCTTCATGCAGTTTGCAGCAAGCTTTCGAATCTGCCTGGTGATTGGGGTGACCACGGTCATGGCCTAAGACCCTGGATACCTGAGTTTTCTGGGGGGTCTAACAAAGTAAAGCCCCAGTCCCTAGAGGCCCACAGTGATGTAACTGAGACCATCTCAGACATAACCAGAAACAACACCAGTGAGGAGCAGATGCAGTGAGGTAAGGTTCCTAGGGCATCTTGGCCAATGCAGGGATGTAGAGACAAGGCCTGAGGAGAGCATCAGAAGGACTGGAGAAATGTAACCTTGGGCAGAGAAGGTGGCAGCTGGAGTGCCAAGGGATGACCAGGGCGCTCTTTAATACCAGAAAGCTGCCACATGAGCATGGCCTACATCTCTGTGGTTCTCAGTTCACACTTGGAAGAGACACAGTTGACAACAGGGCAAGGTATGCACCATTGAAGGAGGGGCATGACAGTCTCCTAGGCTCACACTTTCCAGAAGGAGCAAAGAATCACAGTTAAAATTTTGGAGGTACACTTTTCAAAATGGTCTTCTGGCTACAACACATGGGTTTTTTTGTTTTTTTTTTTTTTTTTGGGTTTTTTTTTTTTTTTTTTTTTTTTTTTT